CCTCATCAACTTAGTGAGGCCCTAAGCAACTTAGCAAGACCCTGTCTCAAAATAAAAAATTTAAAAAATGGCTGGGGATGTGGCTCAGTGGTTAAATGACCCTGGGTCCAATCCCCAATACTAAAGATTGATCTATCTATCTATCTATGCAGTACTTACAACTATGCACTACTTCCTCATTTTTTGGATGAACAAATGGAGTTTCAGAAAAGCTAAGTGTTGCCCAAAGTCTCTCAGCTAGTAACTAAAGAATCCAGGACTTGATAGTTCTGCACATTTGTTTTTAACTTCTTTTCGTTTATATTTTTCATATTTTCTATTGCTATGTCTTCCCATTCACTAACTTTTTATACTATAATATCTTATATGTTCTTAATCCCATCCAGCAAATTTTTCATTGTATCCTAGTTTTTTATCTCTATAAATTTTATTTAGGTCTTTTTTATATATCTTCCAAGTCTCCATTTATATTTTGAATATATGAAATGCAGTTATAATAATTTAAACACCATCATGACCTAATTCTGTAGTGACTATTTCAGAATGTATCAGGATTCATTTTTAATTTAATTTTTTGATTATGTGTTGCTGGTCCAAGTAGGTAATATTAACTTGAACTGTGTACTCAGTGACAAGACTATGATTACACAATCTTGGAGGATATTTACATGACTACTAAAGAGCTTAAGCAAGGACCACAGACTTCTTTGTTATGTTTCTTTGATCATGAGAAGATTTTCTTGTAATTTATCCTTTTATGAGTCCAGGCATCCAGATGGTCATACGTCTGTGAGAGACCTCAATTACTACTCCTTGCTTCATTCAGGCCTTCCAGAAGTTATAAGTCAGCTTCTGCAGAGAGAAAAACTTAGAAATCTTCACCACCCACATTTATATTGATCAAAATACCTGATCAGCTGATTTTAGTTTCTTGTTCATTTTTTGTGTCTGGCTATACTTTCCTGTGAGCTAAGTATTTAAAATAATGTATAACTTATACTAGAGTTATTATATATTAACTCTAAGTTATAATGTATATTATAACTTATGCCAATTTGTATCATTCCTAAATTTTATTCATACCTTATAAACACCTAACTTTTTTTCTAGACAAACTTTAAAATAATTTTTTTAAGTTCTAAAACAAATTAGGGTTTTATTTAATATAATATTGGACTTATATAATCAATAAATATACCCTTCCTATTGAAAAATTATCACGCCTTTCCATTTTTATTTAAATTTTCTTCATATATGTCTTAAATATTAATTTTTAAAATTATTCCTATGTATCTTTTGTTGCTTTGTGAATAAGACCTTGCCTACCCTAGTATATTTCTCCACATGATAGATGAATGATTTCTACAAACTAGAGTCAATTGATCCTTTATTAATAAGTAACTGATTTTTTCTTCATACTGAAACTTTGAACTCCTGGAATGCACTCCAATCAGATTTATTATTTTTCCATAATTTTCAAGAGGAAGAAGCAAGCATAACTATCTTCACTTTGTCATATTAAAACTGAAAGCACAGATAAAGATTTTTAAATGTGAGAAAATTGTCAGTTTTCTCTAGTGGTTGGGAAGGAAGGGTTTTCTGGAGGCCTTGGGGCTGTGGGACAAAGGTATAAAAGAAGAAGGAAAAGGTGGTCCTCAGCAGGAGAGAACTGAACAAACATGACTGCATAGAGATGGACTTGCAGAATGCTCCAAGCATGAAGGCCAGCTTAAATTTTTAACTGTTAGGTATATAATTTTCCATCATTCCTCATTCCAGTGGTACTAGTTAGGATATGATATTGGGAATTAATTTGAAGGACCCAAGTAAATGTGTTTTAAATCTGATGAAAGTTTATTTCTCTCTTGTATATTATCATATGTTATCTGAAGTTAAGTAGTCTAAGGTCAATATAGCATCTCTGTCATTCACAGAGGACATGCCCTCATCCTCCTGGTCCAAGATGCTCACCCTTAACAAATTCCATCTAGTTGGTGGAGATATGAAACAAGGAAGGGCCATGTCCTTGTATTTACAGACATAACATCAGTTTTTCTTCAGTTTATTTGATTGAGTCAGCCATATGGACACACTTTGCTTTCAAGAATGCTGGGGAATAGGTGCTTTTTTGGGGGGGGGTTGTCATGTGCTTTACTAGAGACTCTATTATTACATAAGAAGGGAAGAATGGAGGTTGACAGACAGCAGTTTCCACCTCTCCAGACCTACCACAGATATTTGTAACTCAGATTGCATCTGTTCTATCATTCTTAGGAGTATGACTCTTATGGTTATTTAGGGGAACTTATCATATTATCTGTAAAATTAGGTGACTGGTTTATAATCCAACTCTTTAGGGACAGTGTTTTTTTATGTTGTGATTTCCTATTTCTTTTCAACAAGCCTTCACTCCTATCTAAAGGTCTGATTTCTGAGTCTAAGAAGAAGTGAAGACCTGTACCTATTGCCGATAGCAGTGTGATCCCCAGTATTGCTCTGCCTAACTATTGGAGACATTTTTCTGTCTGAATGAGAAAAACCATGCAAAGTGCTTATGGTAAAACAGTGAAGATGGGATCAGGGCAAGGTGGAGAAGGGATTCTGACCATGATTACTAACACCATCCCAGGCACAAGACATATCCTAATCTTGGTGGCATAGATGTTCACACAAAATGACTGAGCTGGGTGCAAACTTCATGGATCAGCAAAGCCTTTATTCAGTAGTGGAGTCATGCATCTGGCCACTTTTCTGATGGAAAATGAGCCACTGCCCAAAGCGGGAATCTGTGCTTATACATATTCCACTGAGAGGTGACTTAATTATTGACAGAGTGTGTCAGTTTGGGCACTCAGGAAACAGGTTTGTGAGAATTTGAAATTTGTTTTTACTGGGCAATATTTTTACTTGGGGAAGAATGGAAGGTCTGGAGTCAGCATTCAGTACTTATCCCTTTCTCTCTGGGGTCCCATTGTACATTGTACTGTCTTTGGGAAAGGATTTATTTGGGGGAAGGATCAAATTTGACTTCTTCCCAGAGACTGCCATTTTAGGCTTGATGGATATCTCCTTCCCAGGGATTGTCCTGTCACTGGGAAAAGACATACTGGGAAAGAATCAATGTTATCAGTGTGTTGGCTTCTTCCTCACTCCCTCTTCCCAGACCACACTATTTGGGGGTTTGTCATTTTCCATATCTTACAATAGAAATAAAGACAGGTTCTACCCAGGTTTGGGGGGCTAGATCTTTTGGGTCATTCAACAACAACAACAACAAAACACCTATTGTTCTCTTCCTTTGGGCCAGGTTTGGTTTTTATACCTGATGATAATGGTGTTGAACAAGATATAGTCCCTGCTCCTTGGAGCTACCAGAGAAGCAGATATTGAAGTAACTATCACCACTAAATGGATAAAAACGTGCCAAGTACTGAGAAGTACAGGGTGCAGTGATGGTGTCACCGCTGTTGACCAGTGACGAGTCCTTGCTTCCCCAATGTTGAAGAATAACACCAAAGAAGCACGCCAAGGCAAGGTCAGAGTAGAAATTAGAAGTTTATTAAAGGACATCAGAAAAGACTTCTCCCTGAGGAAGAAGGGGACCCAAGAGGTGGAATCAGTTGGCGGGCAAATGTGTTCCCCTTTTTATAGGTTTGGTGATGGAATGCGAGGGGGAAGGGTTAGGACACAGGTGGGCCAAACAAGTAATTGGGCAGGAAGGACTTAATTATCACTTTTTGGGATGGGCTTATCACTTCTCTGGGATGGGCTATCTCCAAATCTGTTGGGGGCTGTTTCCTGGGCTCCATTAACATTTCTTTGGGGTGAACTTTGGCCTAGGGCCTTTCTGGGACTTCATTAACATTCCATGAGTTGTCCTGCGTTTCCGGAATCATTGTCAGCATGGCCTCCATTTTAGATTTCACTCGATATTAGACCTGATTTACCTAACTATACTGACTACCTAATTTTAAATCTGGCTTCATTGGCATGTAGTGGGCTGCCTACCTTATTCTGGATGGTCAGGGAAGGATTGCTTTCTATGGGAGTCCAGCTGACACTTCCAGTAGTAGTCAAGATGGAAGGTAAGAACAGGAAGGTATTCTAGGTTTAGAGAACAGCAGGGCTTAGCAAGTGGGGCAAAAGTTGAGACAAGGGAGAACATGGGAGTGATGAAAATGCTGGGAAGGTGAGTGGGGGCCAACACCATCCAGTGCTGCAGCATTGGAGGGAGCAGAATTGGAAGGAAGAAAGGCCTACACCCTTAGGGTTGGGGAGAGAGAATTTTAAAGGTGGTTCAATCCAGCGGATTTTAGAACTTTCCCTCCTCCTCCTCCAAGACTTATAATTTCATGGGAGATGTATGTTGTTACATTTGGGGAAACTGGTGAGGTTACTGCCGGCGTTGTGAACGGGAGCCAGGAGTACCAAATTCTGCAATGCATAGGGCACTCTTGCCTATTGAAAATTTTTTTCAGAATTTCAAATGTCTTGCTGGGCATTCACGTCAGTGAAAAATCTACATGACAGCATGTAATGCACTGGTCCATCCCATCTGGTTGCACCTGCAGCTTTACTACAATACAGGTTTTTTTTTTTTTTTTGTTTTTGTTTTTTTGAGAGAGAGATAGAGAATATGAATCTCTTAACATTCATTTTTCAGCAGACACAACATCTTTATTTTATGTGGTGCTGAGGATTGAACCCAGCGCCCCACGCATGCCAGGCGAGCGCGTTATCGCTTGAGCCACATCCTCAGCCCCCATACAGGTTCTTGACGCCCCTCCCAGGACCCGGACCCTTAAGGAGTAACCACCCTCGCGGGTCACAATCGAGCTGTCACGGGGTAAGGGGCAATGGCCTGCTCTGTGCAGACAGGATTCCAGCGAGGCGGGGCTGGGCGAAAGCACCACCAAGCAGTAGAGCCGGTACCCGCTAGAGAGGCTGGGCGCGCTTGGTGACGCATTTCCGGTCGCGCCGTGGAGCAGCCCGCTGCGGAGGTGAGAGTGGGCCCGCAGGTGCGGTGGGCGCTGCCCTAATCCAAGGTTCGCAGCGCTGGAGGGGCGCCCTTACATCGTGGGTGGAATTGGGTTTCCGCAGCCAGCAGGGCCCTGGAGGCGGATCCTGGGAGAAGGAGCCGGACGGCGGCCAGGGGTCCTCTTCCTCCTCGACTCCTGCTTTGGAGTTGGTGGCCGAGCAGTAGCGCTTGATCTGCTCGGGGTACATCCAGTGTGGGTACATCCAGCGGGGGGAATACTTGCGGGTTGAAGCGGCCCGAGGTGATATCACAGGTCTCAAGGAGGTCGGGCAGGGACTTCTGCTTCTATGAGTTTCAAATTTGGACCGCGTGCTCCCCGGCTCCTGCCATGGGGTCATGAATTAGGACCGAGAGGGAACAGAAAAAAACAGAACTTCTCCCAGCCACCCGGCAGCCGAAGCAGCCTTTAGGAGGGCACCGTCTCCTAGAGCTACGTCGGTTTCCAAAGGTAACATGACGCTACTTCTCTTAGGCTACGGAATAACAGTGACCTGGGCATGACTTCTACACTGTAATTACGAATTTACTCAGTTCTAGAATACGAATAAAATAGTTACAGAATTGCTAATCTATAACCCCAGTGAAAACAAATTTACTTCCTATAGCACAGTATTTGAATACAGCTGTTTTTGTCTTTAGCTTTATAGTATTTAGTCAAAATACTATTTTCCAGAGTTGCTAGCTCTTGTCTTTCCCACTTCTTCACCATGGTTATGTTATTCAGTTGTCGTACAGTTAGGCTCATTTGCTATTGTTTGCATTCCATTTTGGGACTTTACCTTCACCCCATTCAGGTTGGTGTGTGTCTGTCTTCAAGAATATATTTACATGGGGCTGAGGTTGTGGCTGAGCGGTAGAGCACTCGCCTAGCATGTGCAAGGTGCAGGAGTTGATTCTCAGCACCACATAAAAATAAAAACAAAAATAAAGGTATTGTGTCCAACTACAACTAACAAAAATTTTTTAAAAATTAAAGAATATACTTACATATGAGTATATATAGTCGCAAAATGAGCACCTATGGACATATCACCTGATTAAAAAAGAACAGTGCTGGTGCTGCTACATCTATCAGTGTTGTTCTCACTCATCTTCCAGCCTCTCATTTCAGAGATAACATCTATCTTGAATTTTGTGTTATCATAGCCTGTTTTAAAAAATGTATCACCCGTGTGTGTGTGTGTATTATTATTTGCAAGCTTTATATAAATGACATCATAGTGTCTGTATTCATCTCGTACTTGCATAATCAGTATTATGTCCCTAAATCCATTCATGTTATGTGTAGCTGTTAGGTAATGTTCCATTGTGAAAATGATATGAAAACTTGTTAGTGTCAGTGGTCACGTGGGTTCTTTTCAGGTTTTTTTTTTTTTAATGAAGTAGTGCTTATAGTGAATATTTTCAACACATCTCCTACATATAAGTGTCTCTAGGGCATATGTTTTTAAAATGAGGCATGAGTATTGGAATTTTTTACATACCTTTGTAATGAACAGTATGTTTGTCTTTCTTTGGCTTATTAATGTGGAAAAGAAATGGTAGAGTTGACTTATTAGATTCAAATGGAGTTACATATTCTTTAGTCATAGAATAAGCTTTCCTTTTAAAAAAAAAAAAAACTTTATTTATTTATTTATTTATCTTAATGTGGTGTTGAGGAGCAAACCCAGTGCCTCACACATGTTAGACAGGCGCTCCACCACAGAGCCACAAACTCAGCCCTAGTTTTCCTTTTGAACACCATAAAATACATTAAAAAAAAATGGACACTTGAGCCATTCTTAACAATCCGTGAAGTAAAAATTAATAGATAAGGTTATTTAAAACATGCAATAAATCTAGAACTTATGAACAGAGGAAAAAATAAGCAATATTATTGTTAGATCAGAGACAAAACAGAGTTGCTGATTGGCTACAAAATAGTAATTAATATGTGAAATTTAAAAATCTTTGGAATGTGGCTAATAGTCCAGAGGAAAATTTGTGGCCTTATAGACCTTACTTGCCAAATAAGAAAGAATGAAAATAATGAATAAATCATGGAACTTCAGGAAGGTGGGGAAAGCTTCTTCCAAAAGCAGAACATGGAACAAAGATTTGTGTGTAGGAATTTATTTAGGAATTTATTGAGGAATATTGTCAGAGGGACAGTGTATAACAAGAGGAATAAACAGAAGGGAAAGCCTGTTAAAAGAAAAACTTTAGGTGCGGTGGCACACACCTGTGATCTCAACAGCTTGGAAGGCTGAGGCAGGAAGATCTTAAGTTTGAGACCAGTCTTAGCAACTCAGCAAGACCCTGTCACAAAATGGAAAGATGAAAAGGGCTGAGCATGTAGTTCAGTTAAAAGCAACCTTGGGTTCTATTTCCAGTACCAAATAAATAAATAGGAAAAAATAAATAAAAGAAAAACTTTAGATAAATTTAACCAAGTTCACTTATGTTTTGATAATTAGACACACCCTAGAACCAGGGCAAGTTCAGGAATACTCTGGGGTCTTCATGTGGCTAGAGAGCACTTTCAAACAGAAAAGGGGAAGTGCCATCCAGAAATCAGAAGTTCAGTTGGTTAATACCTGGAGTTTGCCTTATTTGAACCTGGCTTGACTGAAGCTCAGCCATTGACCAAGACTTTAGCTATAGCTGGGTATGGTGGTGCACCACTATAATCCAATTTAAAGCTAAGGCAGGAGGATTGAAAGTTCAAGGCCAGCTTTAACAATTGAGTGAGGTTCTAAGGAACTTAGTGAGACCCTGTCACAAAATAAAAAAGGGCTGGGGATATGGCTCAATTGTTAAGTGTCCTGGGTTCAAGCCTTGGTACTTTAAAAAAAAAAAGGACTCAGCTGTATATTACAAAGACAAATTTGTAAGTTACATTGGGATTTTTCAGTTTATGTTCTAAGTTAGGTTGCAGCTTTATACACACAAAGACTCAAATATGTGAGTAGAGGGCTTTCTTCAGCCAAATTAATTGAACATACCAATACAAGGACGCATTGTCAAAGTCTTCACAGGCTGTCTTGCAGAGAAGCTCCGTCTTTGAGGAGCCTCATGTGACTCTTCAGGTGTTATCTCCCCTGTACTTCATGTCCCAACAGGTGTCCCATAGAGGCATCAGAGGACCTCAGGGCAGGAACCAGGTTAAATGGTATAGATTCTTTCAGAGGCATTGTTGGTTGTAGCTTCCCAAAGGTGGTCAGTGCTTCCATGGAACTTCAGAAGTCCATGACTTTGCAATCAAAATGCCGGATAGTGTGAGGACGCAGTCTGGTACCTCCCTTCCAGCCCAACTTCCTTAAGGAATCCTGGGCTATGCAGAAAGCTAACTGTCAAGACCTCTGTGGAAGCACTAGGATTCTGGAGGACCCTCAGATCTCTCAGGAAACAGGCAGCTGTCAGGGAGCAGCTGTTCCTTTCTCCAGGTGCCTTCCCAGAGCCTGACTCCCTAGGCCTGTGTGCTGGGACTGTAGCCCAGCCATCTTTGATTCTCTTACAGTATAATCAAGATGGTGTTTGTTCAGAGAAAGAGAAATGAGTCAAATATCATAGTAATGTTCTGTCTGAATTGTTGATAGATGAATTTTTTTTATTATTCTTTTAGACTGCATGCACTTTTATATACTTTTCTATATGATTTTTGTCATATAGAAGTCCTAGGGTTTCTGGAAGTGAGCATCAGTGTCCTAGCTGGGAGGAATCCTGGGCACTGAGCCAGGGAACAGATCACTTCCTTTTTCCTGTTCCATGATAACTCCTATTCATGCTCCTGTCTGGATGCTGGCTACCTATGCCTTAGATCTTCTCTGAAGGGCTGTGTTGATCCTGGTGGATGGTGACTCTCCTCACATTTTCTCTGTTTCTCCTCAGCTGCAGCCCTTCTCTGAGAGGGATACCAGGTGATGGCAGCAGCCATGCTCCTGACAGCCTGGCCCCAGGTGAGCTGTGGGTTCTTTAACTCTTCTGGCAGTTTCATTGAGGAGAACTGAGAAGGGAGCTGGTGAGCCTTGGCATGAAAACAGCTTCTGCCTGTAAGACAGGAACTTCTGGGAAAGGTGGTTCAGGAGTGGGGCAGCAGAGACTGGGATGGTGACCAGTGGAGGCAACAGGGAAGCCCATAAGGCAAATGTGGTCCTTTGCATTCCAGGGGTCCCTGTTTCTTCATACAGGAGCATCCCCAGCAGGGGGCTCTGGGTGAATGGGGCTATGGAAGCTGCACATGTGGGATGCTCTATGCACTGATGTGAGTGGAGGAGAATTACACAGGTTTGGGATTCCCAATGGCAGGGGTATCAAGGAAGAGGAGGAGCAGGACCAGATCAATGAGAAGGATGCTATGCCTCTAATTAGGGGGGAAAGGAGGTGATGATGGGAGTGGGATAAAGGGAGGGGAAAGACAGGGAGTCTTGTGGAACAGAGTGTCCCTTTATGTCCTTGTGAAGCTTTCAGGGCTTGGGGTACAATGATTCAGACTTAAGATTTTTGAAAAGAGTTCTTGACCTTCTCCCTGCTAAATGAATGAATGAACGAACGAACAAGCTTGCAAACCAAATGTCTAAACACTTTTCAGGGACTTTGCAGATCTCCTGAAGCTTATCCATGGACTTCTGTAGACTCTAGAATTCCATAGTCCCAGTAACATATTTGAGGCTTACTATGTTGCAAGATCCAAATGGTGCCCCCTTGCATGGACCATTTGGACAGGGTGTTTTTTTTTAAAATTTTTTTTAGTTGTAGTTGGACAAAACACCCTGTGCTCGGTGCTGTGTTGTATTCATTCTACCAAAAAGACATGGAGGCAAAGGGGAGTGATGTGCCCTAGGTCACAGAATTATTGTGTGATTTGAAACTGTCCAGCCACATGACAGCTGTGGAACCAGTCATGTTAACTTAATCAGATATGTGACAGCCATGTATGAAATAATTTTCAGAGGAGATTCAAAAGCAAGGTGACCATTCCAGAACAAATTCCTGGAGATATGGCCCAGGAGATATGGGCTTTATCAAGGAAAGTTGTTTAAGAGGAGTTGTTTAAATAGTACTGCTAGAGACCTAAAAGTCTTTAGGATGTAGAAAGTCAAAGGATTGGAAAATGAATAGAGAAGAGGAAGAGTCAAGAACAACCCCATGTTTCTACCTGACATTTCCTTTGTAGATGGTGCTGACATTAAGAATGAGTTCAGGAGGAGCTGCCAACTTGCTTGGGGAAAGGGTGGTGGTATCATATAGGAAGGCTCTTTTTTTTTTATTTTTATTTTTTTAGTTGTAGTTGGACACAACACCATTATTTTATTTATTTATTTTTATGTGGGGCTGAGGATTGAACCCAGGGCCTCGCATTTGCCAGGCATGCGCTCTACCACTGAGCCACAACCCCAGCCCCTAGGAGGGCCTTTAATTTTGTGCAGAGAAGTTACTTGACCTATTTGAGGTCACACATACAGGACTCACAGACACACTTAGAAATTGGACTAGAATTGTTGGTAGATGGAGGTCCGCAGGATCAAGAAGACAGATCCGAGCAGAGAGGAGTTGGGAGGCAGATATCAAGTCCTCAAGGTTATAACAGAAAGCTGAAGTAGGAGGAGGGAGAGCCAACGGGGGACTGCAGCTGCTTAGAAGGGACTTGGGAGTTACATCAGCCCTAGCAGCAGCTTGTGCTGACCACATAGCTTAGTGGCAAAAATAGAGACCAGAAGGGTGGCAGAGCAGCTGGCAAACAGGAATGGTGGTCTTCCTTCTTTCCTGAACATTTTTGGAGAAACACTGAATTTTAGATAGAAGTTGGAAAGGATGGAACTTGAAAGGGAGAGGGTACCAGAAAATGCCAGTGAAACCACTGGCCCAGGCAGCACTGAGCCTCCCTGCTGGCAGTGCCAGAGAAAATGTCACAGAGTCCCTGGTTAGGGGGTCTGTGATAGGAGTACCTGGCAGATGAGATGGAAGCCAAAACTATTCTAAAAGAGCAGAGTTGTTTTGGGGGAATTTGTTTATGAGAAACATTTTCTTTTAGCCTAGCTTATGTTATCTTTTATAAGCATAAAAAAATGGCATAAGGTTTCTGTGCTGTGAGAGTAGATGGATAGTCCATGGTTTACTTTCCTGGTGCTTTTTCTCAAATCTTCCTTGTTATTAATAGTGTATTCTTAACAAGCTCCCTCCCCAGACCTTTATACTGCCCTCTGCCCCTCACTTAGGGCCTGAGCCATGCAATTGGCCCTAGGGCAGCAGGAACCTGTTGTTTCAGAAGTCGGTGACCTTTGAGGATGTGGCTGTGTACTTCACCCAGACGGAATGGGATGGCCTGTCCCCTGCGCAGAGGGCCCTGTACAGGGATGTGATGCTGGAGAATTATGGGAATGTGGCCTCCCTGGGTAAGGCCTCTCTCCCTTGGATTCAAACTCTGCCATTTGGGGATTCCTGGCTCCCTTGTCCCTGACAGGTTGCAGGTGGAGCACCTGGTACTCTTTTACTGAGTGGGTACCTCCGGGCTATTTCTAGTCTCCTGGGGATTGCTGGGAAGAGCAAACCTCAAGTTCTCTTTAGACCAACATAGGATTTTTAGGTTTTGTATACACTTTGATTCACCCTATGGAAATTGTGTTTTGTACACAGCAAAAAAATAGTTACTTCCTGTTCCATGGTGGCATCTTCAGGATTTCCCTCATCTTACTTATTTTGAATCTTTTTAAGGATTTCTGTGCTCTGAATATTTCAGTCCAAGGTCAAAAAGTGGTAATCCCAATAGTCTGGGCCTTTCCCAAGTCTTCCCACATCCCTTCCAAAGTTCTGGCCATTCTTATCCCCCTCCCCTCCTCTGCCCTCCACCATTCCCAGAGTTCTATCTTCCTCATTGCAGAGGCAATGTGAGAAGAGGTTTAGGAACTTATGTATGGGAAATAATTTATGTCACTCCTATTTCCTTCTTCCAAACCAGGATTTTCACTTCTCAAACCTGCTGTGATCTCACGACTGGAAGGAGGAGGTAAGTTGGTGGGCCCTTCTCCACTGGCCACTGGAAGTAGAACAGGCCAGGGCCTCTGCACTGATAAAGGAGGCACATGTTGCCCAGCAACATATAAACATGCCACATTTATTGGCCAGCCCTACAGAGTAAAGTTTAAATAGTTTTTATTTTTTGTTTTTTCTTATTTTATTTTAGTGCTGAGGATTGAATCCAGAGTCTTGGATATAAATTTTGATGATTTATAGAGCTAGGCCTATTCTGTTTTCATAAATTTCCCTAATTCTAACAACGGATATTTTTTCAAGTGCCTTGTTTTCTTTTCAGTCCTAATTTTGGAATCCCATCTTTCTCGGACAAAATTAATTAATTTTGAGAGTCCTTGCCATTAAATATTTTCCACTTAATGTGGTGGATATAAAATTAACAGATTTTTCACACAGAAAGGCAGAAGCTGCTAAAAAGCATAGTGGGCTTAGAGTAGGCTTCCCCAAGGTCCCCTCCTCATTGTACTATTTCCTAGTAGTGTGACTTTGAGAAGTCCATTTATTTGAGATCTCTAAGATTCACTGATCTCATCTCTGAAAACATAATAATAAAAGGAGGTAGGATTGCTAGTCTTGTGGGTTGAGGATTAAATGTGTTAAGACACATCAAGTACCTAGTATAGTGTGTGTTTAATTAAATATTTTTATTTTGGGGCTTTGGGGGAGAGAACTATACATAACAGAAGTAAAGAGGTTCCTTTTCAAATGTTGATATGTGGCTGAAACACTTCAGGTGTCTTACAAATATGCATATTGTCAGGGAGTCAGTCTTGGGATGGAGTCAAGAGTTTGCATTTTCATTCATATTTTGAGGTCCTTAATCAAAGGTGTTTGGATCTGATTCTATAAACAACAAATGGTTCTGAAATCTTGTCTCTAATCAGCCCATCATGATTTAACTGAGGATTAACATGATTTAACATTAATCTCATGCCTCACCTATTTGTGTAGGTTAATTAAGGTGAGGAATAAAATGGGTTCTAGGCAGGAGCTCTAAGGGAAGGAGAAGGAGGCACAAGGCCCATGTCAGCAGAGTTGACCCTCTTTTAAAAATCTTTTTCACAATCCCCATCCAGTACCTTCCACTTAAATCTCTTATACTGAAACTGTATAAATGTCCATTCTACAAAAAGAGGTTGAAAATGTAGTTTTTTTAAAAAATGTGTATATTCCTACTTTAAAAAAATGGAAAATATGCTATAAAAAATGAAGTGGAGAATAGATATTGACATCTGCCACACCATAGAATTGGAAAACGGAAGGGTGCCAAGTGTGGAAATATTGGCAAAGAATAAAAGTGGTTGATCCACATACAGAGTTTAAATGTTAATCTGTGTGAAAGTCCACCCTCAGCAGAAGCCAGAGAAATATTACTTAAAATAATGATAGATGAGTTGGGAATTTAACTCAATGGTAGAATGCTTTCCTAGTATGTGCAAGGCCCCAGATTTGATCCCTAGCATCATACACACAAAAAAACCAATCATGATCATCATAATGAGATTTCACCTATCAGAGAACCTATATCATCAGTGAGAGCAATTATATTAAGTGTTGATAAAAGTGCATCAAAACAGGAAGAAACTCCTTAAGTGAATCCATTATGAATTAGTAGTCTTTCTAGAATAAAAGTTTATACTTGGTAACCTGACTGTACCCTAATAAAATAATCAAAGTTATAGGCAAACATGTGTATGTATAAAAGTTTACCACACATTTATATAGTAACAATATATGGGGGGGGGGGGTTTCAATTTTCAGTGTAAGGAGAATGGTTAAATTGAGGTACCTCTGGAGGTGAGAAGAGTATTTAGCAATTTCAGAAACCTATTTTTGCAGTCTATCTAGACATTGGAAAATGATCATCATGAATAAAAGAAGAAAAAAATATTCAGTTTTGATATAGTATGTATTTGTTTTTAGAAGAAAATGAAAATGGTTAGGGAAAGAGATGCTTCAAATTAGCAGTAGTTATTTTTAGGTGGCCACATTTCAGGTAATTTGAATTTCCTTCTTTATAAGTTACTGATATTATAGCTGTCTCAATCAGTTTGAACTACTGTAACAGAATACCATAGATGGGGTGATTTATAAACAACAGAAATTTACTTTTACATTTCTGGAGGCTGGAAGTTTAAGATCAAGGTGCAGGCAGATTCTGTGCCTGGCAAGGGCCTGTTTCCTATTAAGGCAACTGTCTTCTCACTGTATCCTCACATGGTGGAAGGGAAGAGAGCTTTCTAGGATCTCTTTGAAAAGCATGCTAATCCCATTCTTGAGGATTTTGCCAAAGGCCTCACCTTCTAATACAAGTTTATTGAAGGTTATGGTTTTAGCATATGAATTGAAGGTCGGGGGAGAACATTCTGTAGCATCAGATGGGAATTATTTTTTAATTAGGAAAAGACCAGTGTTATTTTTGAAAATGCTTTCTAGGAAATCCAGCTTATTTGGGTTTATTAAGGGGCATATTCCATGTGGTTCAACAGGTATGGAAGATGAAAAATATAGAGGCACTCTTTTTGGACCAACGTTTTGAGAAGTTTGGGAACAAATGCAGGATTCAGTAGCTCTAAAGATTATTGAAATTATAAAAGAATTTTAGGAAATGATCAATTTTAGGATTAGGGGAAAAGGTGGAAGGAAAAGGCAAGGCTAATACAGTAGTATTCTGGAGGGATGGGAAGAAGTGGATCAAATAAGGGCTTTTCTGAAGTGGAAGAAAAAGAAGTTAAAGAAGGAATTTTGAAAAGCCTAGAATTTAAGTTCTGAGGAAAGAAAATTCTTTCCCTTTTACTTCCTTTTGCCATGATGTGTCATTGCCAGTATTACCACATATTGCTGGATTTCTTTTCTTTCCCAAGCATTTTCTTCTTTTATTAATAAGGAACTCGGTGTCATGGAGATGACTAAGATTGCAGAGTATAGAAAAGCATAGTATGATGGGGAAAATGCTGATATGGTGGACAAGACCTACAGTTTTTTCAGTGTTGTCAGTTTTAACATTCATGTTAATGATAATGGCTTTTTCTTAGGCAGAGCATGATAGTGATCTTTTATAATTATTACTTTAAAATTCATAATATTGGTATGCTCAAATCAGTACAGAAATTATATAAAGTAGAAAAAGAAAGTCTACTAAATTTCCTATACCAGTTTGCTCAGTTTCTTGTGTATTCTTCCAGAAGTAGTGTTCTAGGAATAGGCATGCATTTTTTTTTCTTTACATGAGTGGAATCACCTCTGTGTACTGTTTCTGGACTTATTTATTCATTCAGCAGTATACCTAGACTTTTCATGTCAGCATATATGGATTTATTTAACTCTTAGTTATATGGTATTTCAGCTTATGAATGAACCTTAAGTTCTTTGACTTAATCTGGTGATTTAAAAAATCCCTCTGATTACTATGATCCTTTATATAGCACAAGTGTTTTTTTTTCTAACATGCTTCTTGTATGAAATTTTCTATTTTCTGTTTTTTATAGTAGATCTTGATATCCAGACTGGCAGTAATTTGTCCAAAGAAATGTGTGAAGAAAAAGTTAGTACATCATTTGAACTTCACAAGGACTCTTCCCAGGAAACAGATTTTTCAGAAGCCTTTATGCTTGAGCAACAACAGGAAGTCCACTTAGCAGGAAGTATGAAGGAGGAAAACAGCAGTGTCACTGATGGTACAGTGAAAAATGAGACAAGTCCTATGGAGGAGTGTCTCTATAGTCAGAGTTCAAACTCATTTCAATATCATACCACGTCCACTGGAGAGCAACACCCTGGTTCTATAGGACAAGAGAAAGTCTTCAGCTTTGACACAAAACTTGTTAAGCATGAAATAATTGATACTGAAGAAAGACCTTTGAAATGTGAAGAATTAGTGGAAACTTTAAAGTGTGACTCTCAACTTAATCAGCAACTAGAAAGCCACACTAGTGTGGACAAACCTTTCAAATGTGTGGAGTGTGGGAAATGCTTCAGCTACAGTTCACATTATATTACACACCAAAGAATCCACAGTGGAGAGAAACCCTATCAGTGTAAGGTGTGTGGGAAAGCCTTCAGTGTTAATGGGAATCTAAGTAGGCACCAGAGGATCCATTCAGGAGAGAAGCCCTATCAGTGCCAGGAGTGTGGAAATGGCTTCAGCTGTAGTTCTGCATATATCACACATCAGAGAGTCCACACCGGGGAGAAACCTTATCAGTGTAATGACTGTGGGAAGGCTTTCAATGCTAATGCAAAGTTAATTCAACATCAGAGAATCCACACTGGAGAGAAACCTTATGAATGTAGTGAGTGTGGGAAAAACTTCAGGTGCAGCTCCCAGCTTAGACAGCATCACAGTGTCCATACTGGAGAGAAGCCCTTTCAGTGTAAAGAGTGTGGGAAAGCCTTCAATAATAATGCAAAACTCATTCAGCATCAGAGAATACACACAGGTGAGAAACCCTATCAGTGCAATGAATGTGGAAAAGCCTTTAATATCAAAGGGAGGTTAATTCAGCACCAGAGAATCCATACTGGTGAGAAGCCCTATGAATGTAATGAATGTGGGAAAGCCTTCAGGTGTAATTACCAACTTCGGCAGCATCTGAGAATCCACACTGGGGAGAAACCCTATGAGTGTAATGAGTGTGGAAAGGCCTTCAATGTTAGTGCAAAACTAGTGCAGCATCAGAGAATTCACACTGGGGAGAAACCCTTTGAATGTAATGAATGTGGGAAATGCTTTACCTCTAAAAGAAAGCTACTTGATCATCATCGAATCCATACTGGAGAAAAGCCTTATCAATGTAAGGAATGTGGAAAAGCCTTCAGTGTCAATGCCAAGTTAACGAGGCATCTGCGAATACATACTGGGGAGAAACCTTTTAAATGTATGGAATGTGAGAAATCATTCAGCTGTAGTTATTACTATATTGTCCACCAGAGAATCCATACTGGGGAGAAACCCTTTCAATGCAAAGAATGTGGAAAAGCCTTTCATGTTAATGCCTATCTAATTCGGCATCAGAGAAGCCACACTGGGGAGAAACCTTTCCGATGTGAGGAGTGTGGCAAAGGCTTCAGCTTTAGTTCTGACTATATTATACACCAGACTGTCCACACTTGGAAGAAACATTATGTGTGTAATGTGTGTGGGAAAGCCTTCAGATTTAGCTTCCAACTGAGGCAACATCAGAGTGTCCATAATGAAGGAAAATCCTAATAGTGAGAATGATGTAGAAAACTGAAGACTAATATTGAAATGGATTATGTATCATCAGCTTCACCCTGGGGAAATACCCTGAAAAAGAAATGAATATAGCAGTCTTCTCATGGAAACATCTCCTGTTTTATTCAGTTTTTAATCAGGAGTGTATAGTCAGTTAAAAAGTAATATCTAAAAAAATGTATAACATTGTTTTGTGTTGACAGCCAATCAGGAAACATGATTAAAGAAAATATCTCACTCCTAGCAACATCAAGAAAAGTGATTTTCTAGGTATAAATAATTATTTTGTAGGACCTGTATGGAGAAAATTATAATTATCCACTGAGGGCCACCAGAAGAAACTTGAATAAGTGGAGAAGAGAAGCCTTGTTCTTGCATAGGAAAACCCATTTTTTAAAGATGTTCACTGTACCTAAATTAATTAATTTCTGTTTAATTTTTGGCAACAAGCATGCATTACTTTTGTAAAGAGGAAAAACAATAAAAATTTCCTTTTGAAAGGAAAACGAGTGAATATTTTTATGAAATAGAGGCAGCATTTCAAAGCTTCAAATGAAAGCTAAAAGCCAGCAATAAGGAAAATATTGGTAAACTGATCATTCAGAATTAAAGTTTTCTGTACATTTTTGTTTTAAATAATCCCAAATAAGGCTAAAAGATAAAACACAAAATGTGGAAATACATTTGTAAAATTTGTGATAAGAAAGTGTAATATCTAATATATAGGGAAGTTTTACAATTGAAAGATAAGTAACAATAAAAACCTGCAAATGACATTAGCAGGCAGCTTTTAAAAACATAAAAATGACTATTAAAGCAAGAAAAGCTGTTTTGTCAGTAGTACTCTAAGGAGAGATTAGTATTTGCTTATCATATGCGCGCGTGCACACACACACACACACACATGTCTCAAATATCCTGCAGCCCTCAAAAATGAGGTTTACTATAGATGCCCTTAATAGAAATAAAAAGCAACAAGTTGTTATTCAGCAAAATCATATTAAAGGGTTCCTGTTACTTCTGTTACAGGTACTTCTCTACAAACATGGTTCTTGAGGTCCCGAAGGAAGGTTGTCTGCCTTGGATTCCCATTCTTATTAGTGCATTTTAAGGTCTCTGACTCCATGAAAATCTTGGAAGTCCAAAGATATTCTTTTGAAGATAATCTCCCACCCCTTTAAAAATTTCTAAGCAATTAAAAGAATACTCAAGCTTTCAGGAAGCTGAAGAGTAAGAGGCTCAACTAGGAAAAACTCAAGCAAGATGCAAGGACAAGAGAACTCCCCCCCGCCATGCAAAACAATGCAGAACAATTATTTAGATACTTAAACTGGAAGTATTTCTGTTTCTTCAGATATTCATGTTTGGGTGTCCTCCGTGGCTACATGAGGATAAGCAATTGCTGGTCAGTGAGACTGCCAACTCCTCAAAAGTTCTGTAGGCAAAGTTCCTTACCTACAAGGGTGAGATAAAGAGTGAAGATACTCAGTAACAATGAGTAGTGGGGAGGGTGGAAAACTGAAAAGGGCTGCCCTACCTGGGAGATCACCCTCTTCTCAGCTATGACAAGTTGTGGCTGGGCAGGAAAGCAGATGAGAGAATGCCAAATGATGAATTTTCAAAAAAGGAAATAGAATTTTCAAAAATCTGAAATCTTGATATCTCTCAGAATTTAATGTTCCAGAATCCTTGAACACACTTATCAAAAGTCCATTTCTAGATGGTGGTTTTGTGTAATAAATCTGATGCCCAGTGTGTGGGTTTCCACACTAGGCAATTCAGTTCCCTGTGGACACCAACTGGGTGTTCTACAATGTAAATCAATTTTGACACTGCCTGGAATAAAGCCTTAGACTGTTCCTACTTTAGGTACCCATCTTATGAAGGGGGTCCCCAAGTTACCCCACTTCTGACTGACTTGACTACAAATTGAGGGTTCCCATGATCCTTTGCTCACGTTCCTACTACAGCTCACAGAACTGAGGGAAACACTTGACAATTTCCAGTTATAAAGGACATCATAAAGGGTATCATGTGAACAGCCAGATGATGAGGTACTTAGGGCAAGGTCTATAGGGGTCTCAGGTGTGGGAGCTTTTGTCCTCATAGGTTGGGGTATACCACTACTGGCACATGAACACATTCTCCATTCCAGAAACAACTCATTTGGGGTTTTTATGGAGATTTCATTATGTGCCTATGATTAACTAGATACTTGGCCACTGGTGAATAATTCAGTCTCTCCTTCCCACAGGTCAGAGGGTGGGGCTGAAAGTCCCTATCCTTTTAAGCCTATGGTTGATTCCTCTGGCAACCAGTCTTGAAGCTACTAGGGGGCCACTAAGGTCACTTTATTAACATAAACTCAGTGATTGAAGAGAGCTCATTATGAATAACAAGATTCTTCTTTCACACAAACCAGGAAATTCCAATGGTTTTAGGAGCTCTTATGCCAGAAATGGGGAAAAAATATCAAATGTATTTCTTATTATGCCACAGGCAAAAATCAAATGACTTGGTTTACATGATTTTTTTTGTTATTGCTCTTGATTTTTAGTTATATCATTTGCAAGAAAATGGATGGAGCTTGTAAATATTATATTAAGCAAAACAAACCAAACTTGGAAGGTCAAGGGATGTATGTTTTCTGTCATAGGTGGAAGCTAGAGAGGAAAAAGGACAAAGGCTGGGGAGATCAGTAGAACAGAGGAAAGGAACTAGGGGAAGGGGAAATACTGGGGAATGATATTGACCAAATTATATTGTGATATTTTGGGCATGTACAAATATGTAACACCAAATCCCATTCACTCAAAAATTTAAAAGGTGAAAAAGTAAAAATTGTGATAAAATGCACATAAAAGTGATCCTTTTGACCTTTTTAAGGTGTACAATTCAGTGACATTTAATATACTCAATGTTGTGCAACCATCATCACTACCTAGGTCTTGAACTCTTTTACCACCCCAAAAGGAAATCCCATACTTATGAAACAGTCACTCTTTTCCCCCACATCCCAAACCTTGGCAACCACTAATCTGCTCTCTGTCTTTATGGACTTTCCCATTCTGGATATTTCATATTAATGGGAGCATACGATATGTTACTTGGATTCTCATACTTAGTGTAATTTTTTTATAGGTTCATTCATATTATAGTAATTAATACTGTGTATTGATATTCCATTGATGGATAGATTACATCTTTGTTTATCCATACATCAGTTGATATACGTATGTTGAATAAATGTGTGTTTTATTTTTGTTTGGTTTTAGTACTGGGAATTGAACCCAGGGCCTGTATGCTTGGTGACACTGCAACATTTTATATTTCCTTAAGTGTTTATGAAAGTTCCAATTTCTTCATAATCTCACTAACACTTGTTATTTTCTAATGTTTTTTCTCATAGCCATCCCAGTGGGCATAAGTTGTTATCTCATTCTAGTTTTAATTTATTTGCATTTTACTAATGATGAAAGATGTTGAGGAGCTTTTTGTGTACTTTGTTGCCCACTTGTGTATCTTTAGGAAAATTCTACTGAAGTTCTTTGCAAGTTTTTATATTGGTTTGCTTGTCTCTTGTTTGTTAGGTTTAAGTTCTTCCTAAATTTCGGATATCAAACGCTTATACAGGGTCTCTTGCAATGCAATTCCGTATAAATTTTAGATTAGCTTTTCTCTCTTTGCAAAAAGGCCCTTGGAATTTTGAAAAAAATTACATGAACTCTATGTATTGATTTGGGAAGTATTGGCTTCTTTTTAAACATTTTTTTTTTGTAGTTGTAGATGGTCAGAATGCCTTTATGTGCTTATTTTTGTATGTGTATATGATGCTAAGGATCGAACCCAGTGCCTCACACATGCTAGGCAATCACCCTGCCACTCAGCCACAGCCACAGCCCCAAGTATTGCCATCTTAACAATATTAAGTCTTCTAATCCAAGAACACAGGATATCTCTATTTATGTAGGTCTTCTTTAATCTTTCAGGATTTGCTTTGTAATTTTCAGTTTATAAGTTGTATACCTCTTTAGTTGAATTTATTCCTAAGTATTTTTTCTTTTCAATGCTATTATAGAATTGTTTTATTAAATACCTTTTTATATTGTTTGTTACTAGCATATAGGATATCATTAGTTTTTGTGCATTGGATTATCCTAGAGAATGTTTTGTATGTATTCAGGGAGTACACTGCTGTTTTGGGTGGAATTTTCTGTATATGCTTGTTAAGTCCAGTTAGTCTGTAATGTCCAAATCCTCTTTTTCCTTATTGATCTTTTTTTCTGGTTCTATCCATATTGAAGGTGGGGGTATTGAGGTCTTCTACTATTGTAGAACAATTGTCCGATCTTTTAAATTCTGTCAATTTTTGCCCCATGTATTTTGGAGGTCTAATATTTGATATAGTCCATTCAGGGTACTATAACAAAATGCCATAAATGTAGTAGCTTATAAACAAAAATATCTATCACTGTTCTGGGTGCTGGTAAGTCCAAGAATAAGGTGCTGGAAGATTCAGTGTCCAATGCAGGCTGGTTTCTTGATTCATAGATGGTTTTTATTGTCTCACATGATGGACCAAGAGACAAAGCAGCATTCTGGACTCTCTTCTAAAAGAGAATTAATCCCATTTGTATGCGCAGAGCCTAAAAAATCACCTCTGATAGGCCCTTCCTCCTAAGATCAGCACACTGGTGATAAGGCTTCAACATGTGAATTTTGAGGGAACAGAAAACATTCATGTTTTAGAACAAATTTCTCATAAAAAATTGACCAGGGGCTGGGGATGTGGCTCAAGCGGTAGCGCGCTCGCCTGGCATGCACACGGCACTGGGTTCGATCCTCAGCACCACATAAAAATAAAATAAAGATGTTGTGTCCATTCAACATTAGTAATCTGCTATGCTTTCTTGATGAATCAAGCCTTTTATCAATATGTAAGGTCTTTATCTTTCTCTTGTAACAATTTTTGACCTGAAGTCTGATTTGACTGTTATTAATATAGCCACCTCAGCTCCCTTTTGGTTATGGTTTCCATGGAATATCTTTGTCTTTCCTTTTACTTTTACCTCATTTGCTATAAGATTAATCCTTAATTTGGACCCAAGGGAAAAAGAAAATAAAGATGACAACAAAATTCAGAAATCTTATGAAACTTTACATGAAATTTAAAAAAGACTATTGAAGGAAAAGAATTATTTAAGAATTTTAACTAAGAAGAGAGAAGTGCAGCTCTGACCTCTGCTGAGCTGGAGTAGACTGTAACATAGCAGGTTTTGGAAACTCAGGTGCAGTTCCTCAGGGAGAAGAAGACTGGAGAAAGCCACACACCAAAGTTATATTACCTGGTCAATTTTTTTTAAGAGAGAATTTTTAATATTTATTTTTTAGTTTTCGGTGGACACAACATCTTTATTTTATTTTTATGTGGTGCTGAGGATCGAACCCAGTGCCGTGTGCATGCCAGGCGAGCGCGCTACCGCTTGAGCCACATACCCAGCCCCTG